CAGTCATACCGAAACTCAAGTCCTGCACGACCCAAGGCTCGAATCCGCAACCTTTTCATCAGAAACCTACCGCTCTAACCATTGAGCCATGCGATCAGAAACTATTAATGTTAGGTTACTCGCCATAGTCGATAATTACTATTTTCGCTAGATTACCTTTACTCTGGGTGTCGATGGATGTAGTAACACCGATTATGACCACGCCGACAAACTGCTGATCTAAGGTCATACGTTTTCGGCTGCGGGTGTCATGACAGAATGTAGCTTTTGGTGTTGATCGGCGAGGGGGAGGGGGGGCTGCGGTGTAGGCGACTGATCTACGCCGTGTAATTATCGCCTGCTCTTGCATTGACACTAATTAACCTCGAATCGCCCTCCCCCTCCATCATGAGCTGTATGCTGCCTGCCTGAACTCACGCTGACTCAGTCGACTGCTCTGAAATTTCAGTCGACCTCTATGTCGATCATGTCGGTTAGCAAAGGCGAATTAAACTTTGACAAAACTTTTGGCGACTAATGCCCCGATAATCGTCCTTAGTGTTGCCTTAATATATTTGCTCAGAATTGTGCCCCATTACGACCCGCCCTTACTTATATTGCTGGAATGCGAGGAGTGGTAACTAAACCTTGTTGTTGTTGTTGTTGTCAGAAGCTTACTAGATAGTTGAGAGCAGTTTATCACTGGTGTGTGTCACGATGTGCCCCTCTATCCCTATGGAAGCATGAGCATAATCGGCGAATTTTCTAAACCAGCCATGATACTATGACCGCCGCAAATGCTAACCTCCAGTGAGTGGGGCAGAATCGCTCAAGTGATACACATAACCGTTTCCTATCCAAGTATCAAAAGTTTCACATGTCAAATCCAAGACGTGACTAGAAGCAGCTTCTCAGAAATCTTTATCATCAGTTGAACCCAGGTCCGGGCAAAACGCCTGGTCATTTGCGCATAGTGGGTTCAGCTAGCGGGTTGGAGAAAAAGAAGGTGCCAGTTTCACAGGTCATGTCCTCATATGTTCACAGCCTTACAGTCCAAATCACCCTAATCCTTGTCTGTGTGCAAATGTTCCCCCATTGACCAGAGTTTTTTTTTTACCATCCATTTTATTAGTTTCTGACAGATTTTATGTTTCACGCGGGGCCACAGCACTCAACGAGAATCTAGCGGTCTCCGGGGTTGCTTACCTGTTTAATGAGCGATGGATATATGCTAGGTAGCCTAGAGGCTAAGATCAGCTTGCTACTTAGGACATTTATGTTTCTGTTTATAAAGTGAAAAGTCAATCAATTGTATGTAATAAGGAATCCGTTTTTGGCACCTTTACGTCGGCAAATGGCATACACATAGGCGCCTGTGACAGGTAGTTAAATTGGTTCATTCTATGAAGAAAGCATATTTGAAACAAGAACTCTCTTTCTCTGCTAAATTTAAAACAAACACTGTGGTCTACCGTACGCCCGCATAAACTGGTGTTGGCCACATTTCTGATCCTCACCAGCCGATCTGAACGAAAGCCCACACAATTGAGACCTCGTGATTTCCTGGGTAGGTCTGGCAATGCGTAGCTAATAATCTGGGCGTTCTGTGGGAAAACGTTATTTGTAACTCACATGTGGCCACCAGTCCGCTATACCTCCATATTTAATCACACAACCAAAGAGAATAAAAAAAACTATTCGGTGTATTTTATAACTATACTTGTCTGATGAAGACGTACACAATCCAATGAATAGCCCAGACAACTTCCTTCTCTGCCTGACACCTCGTGCTATACGGCTGAAAATCAAGGCGTGTCGAGTAGGTCTGAACATTTTTCTAGAAAATAGTATTTTCTGCCTGACTAGTTGCCATCAGTATCTCCTCCACCCCCGGTAAACCTTCTACTGCGTATTGCCTAACTCAGAAGAAGAAGATGCGATCACTGGAACAAGAGTTTTATTTTCTCGGCGTTTCGGATTCTGTCGAGAATCCTTAATCATGGGTAATTGTAGGTAGTCTAAGACATGTACTGGTCTCATGAAGGTGTATTCACGTAGTCCTCCAGTAGCTCACATCCCATATTTTCTAACTTTGAAGTAGGCGCAAGACTAAAGTTTGAATACTCGGCAGCTGCAGAGCCGTCACTAGGGCGACAAAGACCTACCTCACACCGCTTATTCCCCGCGATAAGAAGGGAGAAGATTAGGTCTAGGGCGCCAGTCCTCCAACCGCAAAAGACCCTCCAACGTTGAAGATCTTCAAGCGAACGCATCTATCCTCTGGCAGGGCTTTTCGTCCATCAGACTAGCATTAAGCCTCTTCCATAAGCTGACCGCGATATTAACGTACACTATTTTTAAGGTGAATTTACGCGTCCGAAACAGCATAACCAGAGTAATTCGAACCTTCACCGACTAGTCTCTATGGCCAGATAGTGACGCAGCACCTGCAAAACAAGCCCGCTAAACCTGCAGAACAACAGGTTTTTGAGTAAACCATACGGTTTCGAAATCGGACCACTGCAGCTTTCGATACACTAGAATTTGTTTAGTGGACAGAAAGAGACTTCAATATTCAATGGGTTCCGTCTGGTTTTGCCTTTTCCCGGTCTGTGTCTAAGGTGTCTCACAACTCGACCGACCCGGCGCACTTACAAGCAGACACGAAACGCATAGTCAACCGCATAATAAACTATAATGCTGGACAATGGAATCAATCTAAACTCATTAGCGTTCTTCGTCTCCACAAAATTATCTTTCTTTACAGGGGAGGATTAACCCCGTGTTTAGTCCTGTCTCTGTATTGTGCGATCACCAGCGGACCTTCTCTCGACGTGCTATGAAGAAACGAACGTGTCGGCTATGTGTCGGAGTGCTTTCTGCTCAACATTTCAGCAGGGAGTGCGGAATACTGGCGTTTATACAGGACGTACAAACGTCCTTACAAATAGTCGGCTGTTTCTAGCAAAAATCTAGCTCACACTTCCAATCCGTTTGTTTGATGCATTTGCTTTCAGCTGAAAAATGTGAAAAATCCGAATGATTAAGAAAATTGCCGAATTATGACGTGTCTGTTTTGACGGGTTAACACTGGTTCACTCCTCCCCGTGACTGTCTGTCCAAGTTCTCGGCCTGTCATCCGCACGCTCTCTAAGTCGGCCGCGACCGCATGACTAAGCGTTGGCCACTGAGCTACCCAATCATGATCGACCTGCTGACTCGCGTGGGTATTTGT